AGAATAGTCTTTAAAGTATGTGCGGACGAGGTGTTGCAGCCGCCCACGCCGGCGCTGCGAGCGCGGGCGCTGTGCCTGCTCCCAAAGGGAAAGCAAAGGCGAAGGCTAGGGCGACCCCTGCAGCCCCCAGTTCCCTCGAAGAGGCGATGGAGCAGACTCGTGCCTAGATTGCAAAGGTATACATCCCACACGTCGTTGATTGCAACATTGTCTACAACAGCTCATATCAAGCAAACAGTTTCTTAGGCGTGAACATCAAGAAGGAGCTCAAGGCTTGCAGCGTCTACGTGGACCTTCCATCCAAGCATAGCCTCCGAAAGGCATTGGAAGAGCTATGCAATGATCTTACTGCTATCCTGGATGAGTGCCTCACCTTCACAGTGTTCACCTTAATTCATGCATACATGCTCTAATCCTGTACTGACCCTGCAAGGGGAGCCTTTCTAATCCTTAGCATATTCTAGAGTGTTAATGTATAGATACGGAATCGTCAAATCGAAACCCCCGTGTGAACACCAAAATACAGAGGCTGCAGACGAAGCAACACGAAAATTCAATGTACCCCAAACGCCTCAATCAACGAAGGCTTCGCGACTGCAGCGACATGCCGTCCTTGGAGAAACTCAAGGCGGAAGCTGCCGAGCTGGTGGCTTGCCCAATTACGCTTTGTTTTCTGTGTTGGGTCAATTGGGTGCATGGGGTCTTGGATATTGCCCCTCATGGCTTCATTACGTGTCTGAAGTGTTCTTTTCGTTCCGATTGGCTACTGCGACTTAACGAAGGATGCTCGTGTTGTAAACCCGAGACCCTAAATACCCTAAACCGTGTGCACTCTCCAACTCGGACCTACTCAATATCATCGTTGCCAAATCCTATGTACGAGGTGGAGAATGCCAAGTACACGCGTGTGCAAGCTGCTGCTGTGGCCCGGGAAATTAAGAAGTCTGAGAGCGGCAGTGGCACGAGCCGTAGCAGTGCGCCGAAGAAGTCTAGGTGAGCACCAGGAGCTTGAGGGTGGTACGGGTATGCAAGGTCTTGTATATATACTTATTGGGGTATGTATATACACACATATGTATATGTAGGGAGCTGCCTGGTGCCACGTGCTTTCTCCAGCATCCATAGAACACGTACGTTCGTGCCGGGATGTGCTCGATTTATCAATCAGCTAGCTCTGTGTCGGCATGCTAGGTTTGTCTGATGTTCGCGCTTAAGGCACGCAGATCCGATTGCCATGATAGCCGTAATTAGGGGTTTAGGGTTTAGGGTTTAGGGTTATATATTGGACAGTTTTCCAGCATAGAACGCTCTCGATCGGGTATGCGTGCAGCGAGAATGAGTGCAAACATGTGTCGACCGCGGCGAGTGGCTAGCTGGCCTTCTGGTGTACATAACCCCAGGATGCGCTTCTGAACTCCTTAACTATATCCCTATGAGTTCGAGTGTCTCAGCTTCGACAACCTACATAGTGATAGCTAGTACTATACTAGTACTAGTAATACTAATACGACGACGACGACGACTACTACTACTACCACCACTACCACTACCACTACCACTACCACTACCACTACCCCTACCGCTACCACTACCACTACCAGTACCACTACCACTACCACTACCACTACCACTACGACTACTACTACTACTACTACTACTACTGCTACTACTACTACTACTACTACTACTACTACTTATTTACTACCTACTAATATCTACTACCACGACGACTACTACTACTACTTATATCTCCTTTATATAGGCACTGTAGCATTACTAATTACCACTGCCGCCACCACTAACTGCTACTGGCAGTGCTGCCTGCTACTGCCGCTGCTACTGTGCTACTGCGCCTGCCATGGCTACTGCTACTGGTAATGCTGTTGCTGGTGCTGCTAATTTGCTGCTACTACTACTACTACTACTACTACTTTTACTACTCAATAACAATCTTGACAATAATTGTGCTCATTACTATTATTAGCTACTCCGGTACTCCCGCTTATATTGATATCTTAAACTGTGCCGGCTAGCTTTTCACTGCCGAATCCTTTACTTGTGTGCAAGCGCAAGACATATGTGTCCAATGCACATATGCAGGGATTGCGCCTGCGGGGACTGGTGCAACTAGGCACCACTGCATGGACTGTGTGCCAGGATCACGGTGCTGTCGGGTTTCGAGTGTCATACAGTCTCGCACCCTCGGGTTCAGACTTTACAAGGCTAATTAATTAAGGGCTTATCATTATCAGCTCTAGCACTGTGGGTGCCCTCCATGCGATCGAGCATCAGGATGATTCAGCGGGCGAGCCGCTGCTGGAAAAGCTGCCGAATTCCTCGGATTGTAGAAAACCCGAATATTTAGGTTAAGGCTTTTACAGGTTAAAATCGGGTCCAGGCTGTTAGGGCTCTAGGGGTTTTTGGTGTAAAGGGTTGTAGGTCATATATGTGAGCGTAGGCTATATATTATAGATATAGCCTGGTTCAGCTTCGCTGCTTTGCGCTTTTAAGCTATGTGCGTCGCAGTACGTGTTACCAGTTATGGCATCTTTCTTATTAGCGTGTGTTGGGCTCTCTGAACGCTTCTGATCGTTGCGTCCCAAAGTAGAACGCGAACTTAACCGACAACCTAAACAGTAAACAAAAAACCTTAAAACCCAAACCCCTCAACTCTACACCCCTAAACCCCCAAACCCCCCTAAACCCCAAAATCCCCCTAAACCCCCTAAGCCCTAAACCCTTAAACTCTACACCCCAAAACCTCCAAACCCCCCTAAATCCCTAAACCCCCTAAATTCTAGTTACACCCCAAAACCTCCAAACCCCCTTGAATCCCTAAACCCCCTAAACCCCCCAAAACCTAAACCCCTAAACTCTTTAAACCCCTAAACCCCTAAACCTTCGGGTCCGCCCTCGCGCAGGTTTTTCTGAGGATCGATTGCAAGACGAGCTGGACAGCGAGCCCCTTAATAGCAAAAATAAGAGACTAATACCACAAGGTTAGTTGAAGTGTTCACCCCTGCCAACATATCATCCCAGGCTTCTGGATGCTCTGGGGTCGGGCGAGCTCACTGTGACTCGCAGCCGTCGATTTGGTAGGATTTTTGGGTCGGAGACATTTATGACTCCCGGCATGGATGATGGATTTCAAAGTTTTATAATCTTCCAATTATGCTTATATGCTTTAGCCTAGGAAGCAACAGCTAATCACATCGCCTGCACAGATACGCAGATCATCACGCCATGATGTTCCGTTAAACAAGACGCACACACA